CAATTATCGCCCTGTATCGAATCTTTCATTTATTAGCAAAGCAATTGAAAAATTGGTAGCTAATCAACTTATCTCCTACATTAACGAATATGAGTTAAATGAGACATTCCAGTCGGCGTACAAGCAATATCACAGTACTGAAACTGCACTTATTCGTGTTCACAATGATATTCTTTCTGCCATTGATAATCGTCGAATCGTAATTTTACTGTTGTTAGACCTTTCCGCTGCCTTCGATACAGTCGATCATACCATCCTCCTCTCTCGTTTACGTGTACGGTTTGGAATAGCTGGAAAGCCTCTATTATGGTTGCAATCTTATTTATCGAATCGCACGCAATATGTCTCCGTCGATGGTGGTACTTCTACGAAACATGACCTTAAATGTGGAGTGCCACAAGGATCTGTCTTGGGACCCATTTTGTATTTGCTTTATACTTCGCCGCTTTCAGATACGTAAAGAAATTTAACCTGAGCTATCACTTTTATGCTGACGACTCACAGCTTTACTTGTCTTTCCAACCAACCGTACTGGGTGACAGGGATCTAGCGGTTTCTAGCATCGAGAGCTGTGTGAATGAAAATAATCATTGGATGATGGTTAATCGCCTTAAATTAAATAAGGACGAAAGTGAATTATTGGTGATCTCCACTAAACATCTTCCAAGACCACTCCTTCACGAAATTTCAGTTGCTGGTGCAAAAGGCGAGGAATATCGGCACTATGTTTGATAGCCATTTTTGCTTTAACGATCATATTACTGACATTTGCAAATCTTCATTTTGTCATTTGCGAAATATTAGCTTTATCAGGAAATTTCTTTCAGCGACCACTACTAAATTGCTGGTTCATATGTTTGTATCTTCGAGGCTGGATTACTGTAATTCTCTTTTGTATGGCCTACCGGCCTACACTATAAAAAAGCTACAACACGTCCAGAATGCCGCGGCGCGCCTCGTCACTTTTACAAAAAAGCATGATCACATTACACCTGTTCTTTTTAATCTTCATTGGCTTCCCGTTAATCAACGTATTATTTTTAAGATTTTACTTATAACCTACAAGGCACTAAACAACTTGGCACCTTCGTACATTTGTGATTTGCTTACATCTTACACCCCATCGCGTCAACTACGCTCATCATCCAAGCACCTTCTGGTTTCTCCACCCAATAACTTGAAAACATATGGCGCAAGATCCATCTCTGTAGCAGCACCATCATTATGGAATGCTTTGCCCTGTGAAATTAGAAATGCTCATTCTGTGTCTGTTTTTAAAAGTAGATTAAAAACTTTTCTTTTTAGAAAAGCCTTTTATAATTAATATTAGCTGTCTTAAGTGTTAATGTTAAAGTTTTTGTAGGCGCCTTTGAACAGTAGGATACTGGTGCGGTATAAATCTTTTATTATTATTATTATTATTGTTATTATTATTATCTGGATTCATGAGCGATAAATTGTGACAGCAACACTGACAAATTCCTCTTAAATCGGGGTTAACTGTGGAGACTGCGGCAAATAACTTATTATTTTTAAATTTCAAGTAGAGTTTAAGGTCATAAACATAACAAGCAGTTTGACAAAGTTTTGGCACTGTTAACAAATCATTTACGTAAACACGTTGCATATATGTAGATTTGATTATATAATATATTAGATATGAATTTTATAAATATAAACTAGCCCAAAAGTGAATAAAAATGTAAACAGATAAAGTTAAATACAGTTCATACATTAGCACCCTGTGAAATTGACATTTGTAACGAAATCTTACACTTAAAAAAATAATATGTCAGTTTTATAAAACACTGTGATTGGTTTACTTTCCGATTTATTTATTGCCCACCGAATCCATGAAGTATTCATCTCCACTCAAGTCAAACAAGTCCTTTGCAACCTTGACAGTTTTTAGTTTTTTCTTATGAAACCCGATGTGTCATGCGAAAAAAAAAGGGAAAAAAAGAGAAAAATTCAGCCGCCACAGAAGGTTGTGCGTGCTTTTAATCGACAATGAACTCAGACCCATTCAGTTTCATTTTTGGCTCTTTGCTTCGGAGTCACTCTATTTTCTCTCTAATTTATGCTGCAAAGTAAAAATTAATGTATGCAACAGTTGGTGGTTGTGAAGGCCAGCTGTCTTACTTACAGCAAATTACAGTTTTACCTACGAAAAATTAAAGTTTTAGTTTTCAGAGTTTATTATCACCACAAGCGCCCTGATTGGTCAAAAATCTATCGTTTATTGCATCGGTAAACTCCTAGTTGTTCCATGGAAGCAATGGACTGCATTTTCTATCAGTTTACCCGCGTAATAACCCAATTGATGCTGGAATAACACCAGAAAATTTTGAAAATCACGAGCAGGACTTTTCTTGGCGGCTGCAGCCCAACATTACGCCAAGAAATAGATAAAAATTGCACAGGGAAATTATGCTTTTCACGCGCACTGATTGGGAAGCTTGGAGTCTTCACCTCTTGGCAGCCATAGAGCATGTGAAATGGCTTCCCACCTCATTACGGTTAGCCTGCAGTGCCGACGTATTTTGGGCGCACGAGTGCACATTTTCGTATTAGGCCGCCATCTTAGATTTGGTAACTGTGGAGGATTGGGGCGAGGAAATATTTGCCGAGGGAGTAGGTGTTAAGTGGAAAAATGGGCAACGGGGGAGAGGGAGGGAAAGGAAAAAATATGTATTTTTATGTATATGATGAGATAAACTGACCAGTCGATTATGATGAATTTTTATTCGTCGAATGGCTTTGAGCCATTACGTTTAACCCTTTACATGAGTGTATATATTCTCTATATTGTTCTCGGTTACATCGGTTGTTATGGCACTGACAAAGAGAATTAGGTTCGATAAATTTGAGAGCTTTCCAAGATTGCGATCATTTCTGTAATGCTCACGAAGTAATATTTGATACAGAAGTGATACCTTAGTGAGAAATTCGATGCTGGTCACCCCCAGAGGTTAAAAGGTCAGTCATTAAGTTAGATACGCGCGTTCTGTTTAATGGCTTGCATGAAGTCTAACCGTGATTTCAACAATGAAATGAAACATTTTTAGGCCTTTAGACTTGAGTACGGACAGTCCTATATCCACGAGATAAGTTCATGAATACATACATGAATGGCCAGGTAAGTACAAATTTGTATAGGCCCGCACAGCGTCAAGAAAACATCATCGTCCCGCTCAGTCAGGTTCAAAACTTTAAGCGCGCGAACAACAAAGCAAAACAAAGACAAATGTTCAAGAAAAAATATGTGTGATATCGATGCCTTGAAAATTTGAATTTTGCCGTGGTTAATTGAACAGTGTTCTTTTTGGTTTAAGCATTCTAAGGCATATTTCTATAAACTCAGTCAACAACCGTACTTTATGAACAGTTCCTTTAAACTTAATAAGCAGTTATAAACTGAGGTTAAATACTGTAAAAATACATTACGGACCTATATTAGGCGTAGCTGGAATAATAAGCCTAAGAAAATTTTAACATATTTTGGTTATTATGGCTACAAATGTGTTCCCCCTCCCTCTCCAACATAACTGCCCCACATAATCGACAAAAAGAAAACACGAGGGCATTATATATCGCTAAGGGAAGGCGGGGGGNGGGGGGGTACGAATATTACAAAGCCATAGGAAATGATTCCTTGAACTGTCAAATTTTAAATTGATAACTCAGCCCTTAAATTTGTATCCGTCATTTTTTCTTGCTGTGCATTTCATCTTTGGAATTGTAAATCGACTTTGCAAACCAAGAAGCTATAGCGATGTTGCCGACGAATACTACAACCGTAGGAAACAATGTCTCCCAGGCCGATATACCAACCAGTGACTTAGCCAAAACTTCATTTTTTGGATCCTGGCGACTTTCAATGGTAACTAGAAGAATTTTGAAGGCGTATTCTGTGGAAAGAGCACCAAAAATGTGGAGAAAATGATGGCTGCTTCCAAGGATGTCGAATTTTCCTGGCAAAAGTCGTTCCGGAAGTTTACTCCCATAAATCAGCCCGCCCAAGATGGAACAGAAGCAGTGACGCCGAAAATACGTGATTAGCAGCTCATTACAGGCGATGAAAGATTGACATGCCGTACCAGCGTGACAGCTACACATTGTCACGCCAACTGCAAGGGATAGCACGGTGTTCAACCAGCCAGCGAACACTGGAATTATTCGGAGTGCTGAGCTGCGCTTTCGTAAACCTACTTTAGTCAGGCAGCATAAGAACGTTGCCAGGAAAGATAAACTGGCGCCAATGATCGTGTACAACAACGCAGATTCGAAAATTCTCCACCCGGTTCGAATGGGTCGATTGTAGAAATACATAACCTGACCAGAGGTGTAAGTGTAAATACTTATACCGGCGTAATCAAAGAAGTAGAACACTCTGTGCAGTTTTTCCGACAGTGAGTTGAAGGTATGAGCTGTTGCACTCAACGCGAAGATGGTGATGCTCCCGATAGCCGAGGATAACATTGGATAATAAAAATCTTGTTTCGGCGAGGACGAACCTCCCAACTCGAATAAGACCACGGAGTACCGTACGACAAAATACAAACACACGACGATGTGGCTCCACATATTAAAAGTCTCATTGTTAATGTAGAAGAGGCTTTGTAAACATTCCCAGGTGGTGCTGTAGGGCTTTCGATAACCGCTAAGGACGAAAGCTTCTTGGAAATCGGGCGCGACTTCGTCGAAGTTGTAGAGTAATTTGTTCTTTTTGCTAATTCCTCCGTTGCATGTCCATTCGACCACTTTGAAGTTTCGGTTGTTGTTCAGTTTCGCTTGATCATAAGATGTCTTCTTGGATCCGGTTTTCATTTCGTGATGAACTGTTGACGGTAGTAACTTCTTTACTTTTCGGAAAGAATGTCTGACGGATGATGACGTGAAACGAAACTCTGTCGGTGTTCAAGGGGCATCGATCGGAAAGGCCTCATTCGCTCAAAATTATTCAGGAAACCTTTCTACCGTATCCCACGTTCGATCACGCTCAAGTCACGCTCACACTGCTTCAGAATTACAGCTTCATTAACCTCGGTAAAAGTCAGTCAATTTTAAAACTCGTCTTAAACAATCGCTCAGAAAACGGTGACAGTTCATTAGGAATTAGTATTTGTCATCCTTTTTTGCAAAGATTCCAAACGTTTTAATTAGCAAGTCAATAACAAACGCCATGATAATAAAATTTTCGCTTCAGTGACGGTATTGAAATCAATATTGTCTTGTTTTGCCTCTTAATGCAACTTAATAGTGGTTGTAAACAGTCCGCAACAGTGTCATTTTCTCTTTCACAGGGTGCAGATTACGTTAATAATCAACTACGGTTAGGAGCAATGTAAACACGTAATGTTTGAATAATAAATTACTGTTTAAGAAACCTGTAGTACCATAATAAGAACAACTCTGAGGAGTTGTACCCAAGCATATTTAATATGCTTCGGTACAACTCGGTACAATTCTCCTTTAAAACATACTATGTTTTAATTGAGAATTAGGACCTTGACGATGCAACTTTTTTTCTCTTTTGTGATCAACTCATGCGTAACGCTGACGTGGGTCTGAAGCGCTGTTAGAGACGGTAAACGCTTCCAGCCATTTGCGCAATTCTCTCACAAAAAGTTATTAATTCATGATCGATCTTAAAACAACAGAAAAAGCACAGGGTCGGAGTCGGTTTGAGTTTTTTTCTTAAAAGATTTAAATGTAACGCTAACTATTTAGATATTCATGGTAAGTGAGGTTAATCGATTTGGTTATTTTCCTACTCTAGCTGATATTAGGGACTCATAAATCTTATGAGATATTGCCCAGTTTTTGTCAAAAGTTTGGGTCGATGACCGATCAGGAAAAACTCAAAGATTGTCGCTATATTTGGTCTAAAAATACTGTGGCTTCTGAGAAACCATTTGCTGCTGTTTTCAAATTTTCCATGTTTCGTAGTTACATGGGAAAAAATTGTTCAACTCTACAGTTGTTCACCGCTTGATATATTCTGGTGAATAATTTGCATTCTCGCTAATACCGGTTTTGCATAATATGAAAGTGAATAGTAGCTTACGTAACGATTAGACTTTTACCGCAAACCAGTTTCGTTGTTACTAATATTTGTGACGCAGGACGCGAAAGAAGCATACGCATCTCATTTCAGCCGATTTTGGGACAATTGTGAATGAAACTGGGATCTTAAAAAAGGAAAGACTGTTGAAACTTCGGTAAGTTTGACGAATATCGAAATAGCTTGTTGACATCGAATTTTACTATCCGTTTTGCACTGTCGCAAACAATCACGGTGCTCACATTTGAACTAAAATTACTGCAATTCATTAATAATTATAGATTCTGTGTTCAAATTAGAAGTGGGCAAGAAGTATGGCCAGCATTTAAAAGAGATTTAACCGGTTTCAAAGACGAAATTTGATCGACGGGATCAAAGAATGTTAAATTATAGCATCACCAGAGCTTATTATACACGAGGCTCTATCGTATTAATCGTGTAACGTTTTGTCGGCCTAAGCGTTGCAAGGCGATATTTTCTAGAAATCGGCCACGAAAGCGAATTCTTTACGGGAAATTTTATCCCCCCCCCCCCCTTCTAAGCGCAATTATCTCGTTAAAAACGAGGTTTTGTGTAAGATTTACATAATGTTGTTTTGTACTTTCGAAATAACGTGGTGATTAAATAGATTTATTCACTGTATGTGAAAACAATTTTTCGCAATAATGATTCCTTGGTTTACTTTTACAACCTTTAGGAACGTAACTTCCTTGTTTAAGGGATGCCTGTGTAAATGAAATTAGTATATTTCACGTTGACGAGTCAACTTTTCACGCTTGCTTTAAAATTTATGCACTGTCGCGTCGCCGTCAAGGCTCAGTCTTTCTCATTTCTCACATTTGGAAGAAGTCCAAAGTCTGCATCAAACTGAAGCAGTAAAGTACAGTGCAACTAATGACTAAATAAAGTTCGCTTTTGGCATTATTCTCCTTCAGTATTAACGGACTAACAGCTTTCGATGCTTTGTTCCGTCCAAGTTTATTTATTTGCTTAACAGTAATGGGCACACGTCCACAAACTTGTAAAAAAATTCTAATAAATACAAATTTAATTTTTTTTCAGTATTTGTCTCAGAGCTTTTCGCATCAGAGAAACCCTCACTAAAGAATTTTGAAAAACAAAGCTAATACAGACGGATATTAAAATCCCCTCTTGTCAGAGAAGCGAGCAGAAAGAGGGAAATTATTCATTGTAGAATGGTTTTGAATGTCAAGGAGTCCAATTTCCCTTGTGGAAATAAATCACAGTTTCGTGCGAAATTTAGCCAGAGCGTTGTTGTCCAATCCTTTCGATACTCAACACTACCTCTCTTTTCACGCGTTCCTTTGGAAACGGTGTTAAAAAGTGTTCAATTTGTTCAAAATATATTTTGTATATTCCAATGACATAAGAATACCATAACAACATCAAAGCCCTTAAGAAACACCCTTTTTCCAGCACAACTGAAAGAACTTAGGATACCTTTCTTAATAGCTAAGCAGAATGATATATCTTGATCTGACGACTGCAGTGTAATGATAAAAATTGGGTCACCGATTTTGTTTTCTTAGCTGAAGTAACAAGTTAAAAAAGCAACAAGTTAAGGTGTTTTTAATTCCATTGTGTTGCCATGGTAACCTCAGTTTTAAGAAATATAAGTTATTGTGCGTGTTTTGAGGCAAATTTCGGAGGAACAATTAAACAAGTGTGGGAGCCACAATCCATTAGAGAATTGGTGTTTGAAAATAAACAAACCACAAATCTCTCTCTGTCTATAAACAAAGGGTAAGGAAAGTTTGGTAACGAAAGTTTGGTAACGAAAGTTTGGTAACGAAAGTTTGGTAACGACTCTTGTCGTGGAAAGACATGGTGGAGCAGAATTTTCCTTTCCCTCACTTGTTCCTTTTACAAAACTTATATTCCAGTTTTTTGGAAAGGTGGATTTTTCAAGGATATGTTTGTCAAATTTTTATGCCGCAACTTACGATAAAAAATTTACAAGTGAATGCATCTTCACTGTTTGTTTTCAATACAGGTACGTACTTTTGTCTTCAGTGACAGTGCCCGAGGATGGTAAAAGGAAAGCGGAACAGCCTTAACACCACAGCTGCCGACAATAACAGAAGCTTGATGTTTGGTGCAATCGATAATGACAGGATCATTTTTGAGGAAGAAGAAATGCCAAGGGGACTTCGAGAACCTTTCATCAAGTCAGGATACCGGCGAGCTAACAGCACGCCTTGGCAGTGTTTGAAAAGCCTTTTCTACATCAATAATGAAAGCTTTAACGTTTGGAGCCACATCATAGCGGCACTATACTTCGCCGTGCGCTATGGAATGGCTGTTTCCAATCAAATGGACTCAATTTTAGACCCTTTTAATTTGCCTCTATTGGCCTCCGCCATGGGGACTGTCATTTTGTACTCTTCTAGTGCAACCGCTCATCTTTTCAACTCAATTTCTGAGAGAGGATATAAGATCTGCTTCTTTTTCGACTACTCAGCGGTCAGTTTTTATACATTTACCTCATGCCAAGCTATGTTCTTCTATGCTCGACCAGTGAATTCTCATTGGAGGATTTTTGAATCACCAGCTTTGTACCTGAGTCTAGCAGCTCTGTTTTCGTTTCTTGTGACCTACGGTTGCTGCAAAACAGATGCTGCAGTGAACAAATTCAGCACTTTTTTGCGGATGTTATCAGCTATCGCCGCTTGGATCCACAGTACCTTACCAATTCTGGTTGGCATGACTCTTTGCACCTGTCACGCAGCCAACAAGAGATGTTTGTCCTTCTCCACTTGTAGCAGTTTACCCGTCAGTTATTTCCTTCGTCACGCATTTTATACTTTTCTAGCAGGGTTCATGTACAGCACCAGGTTACCTGAACGCCTCATTTCCGGAAAATTTGATCTGGTCGGGAACAGTCACCATTTTCTGCACGTCTGTGTTGCCGTAGGAACGGAATATGCCTTCAAAATGGTTGAATTTGAAATCAATGCCAGGAAAGCCAATAAATTGTTGCAGGAGACAACCAATTATGTGTCCATTCTTAACACCTTGGTCGCGGCCATATTGGTGATGTTTTTAAACGCTGGTATTGCATTCTGGTTCTCTATGGCTCTTAAGAAGAAGGAAAGTGTTCATAAAAACTAACCTGGAGTTATTGATCTAGTCACTGTATGGTGTTAAGTGACTTTAAAAAAAAACTGATTTTTAGAAGAAATAAATCATATGAACCAGTCTAACAGAAATTTTAAAAAGAATTTTCGAAGCTGGGAAGAGGCACTAAAGAATGTAGTGTAAAACGCTTTCAGTTCGTACGTTAAAAAAAAAAAAAAAAAAGGCTTTTTAAAGGATTACA